CTTCTGTTCTGGTCACTGCTGAGTCCCTAAGGCCTCAAATGGGACCTGGCACTTCATAGCTGCTCAAGACATTCACTGAGCAAATGAATCAATGGAAATGAAAGAAACCAAAAAAAAGCTTAGTCATGCCCCTCCCTCCAACACAGAGAGACCCTACCCAGAAACCCATGAGCTGACTTCCTCCCTCCCATCCTCCAGCAGACAGTTTGTTGAGCACCTACTACATGCAGAGCTCTCTGATCTGAGACCCAACATTCCCCATGAGGGCAGCTACCATGAGTCCATTTTGCTGATGAGAAAACTGAGGCTTGGCTTGAGACCACTGGGTCTCAGAATCAAGGTCTGTGTGTGAGAGGTTGTTTCTTCTGATGCATCTGCCTTCCTGGCCTGTCCTTTCCTTCCCCGCTTTCCTTCCTTCCTTTTCCCTACATACAGCAGGTCCCAGATCCCTATTCTGTGCCAAGGGAAAGCAAGAGTGAACCAGGCTGATGCCCCTGTCCCATGCTCACCTGCTGGGGCCTTCCCAGAACCTTGCGTCCCACCCCTGTCACACACAGGGTTGTCCCTGAAGGTGGTCAGCTTTCCTGGTCAATGTGGTAGAACCCAGGCCACCCCACCCACAGGGGAAAGCTGGCGCCCGGGGACACAGGGGCCCTTTGTGAGGCAGGGGAGGCGGTGAGTGAGCAGAAGGGCACCGTTACTCACTACCCAAAGAAAAATAAGAGTACTCCCGTGGGTTAATGGCCCGCCTGTCTGCGCCCACACCCCTGCCTCCTGCTGGGGCCTTTCCAACACCCTGAGCTCATCTGGAGCCCACAGCAAGGCTTCCTGTACGCCTGGCGTGGCCGCCTGTGATTCTCCCTTACCAATCAGGAAACATGCTCAGAGAGGTGGGGTCACCTCCTCCGAGTCACACAGCCCGCAGCAGCCAAGGCTGGGGACAGAAAGGGGAAGCTGATGGTCAGGAAAGGGCTCAGAGGGAGGAAGGAAGTCAGAGGCACAGTAAAAGCCAGGGGCCGATCCCTTCCTCATTCCTGCCTGGCCAGTTCAGGGACCCACGGGCTCCCAACACAGTGGGGTCCGGGCCAGGGCAGGAGTGGCAGCCGAAATAACCCAAATCACCCGCAAGCTGGCAAAACTGACCTGCAGCAAATCCTGGGTGGCAACCCCAGAAACAGAGAGGCCAGGCCATTTCCTGAGCTCACACAGCACAGCTGGGAGGTGAACCAAGGTGGGTCAGACTCCAAGAGCCATGAGTCCAAGATGGCTTTCTAGGCAGGAAGCTGAGCCGGCCAGTAGCTTTTCTGGGACCCAAGGGGACCAGAGTCACTTGAATATGTCTTCTGGGTCCGGCCCTGCCATGAGCCAGCTGGAAAACCATCTCCCGCTCTGAGACTCAGTTTCCTCCACTGTCCGGGGGTCTTGGCATCGCTGCCACGTCTGTGGGGTGAGGCCGCGGGACCACCGAAGTAATGAGGTAACAGCTGTTGGTTATAAGCTGAAGAATCTGTCTTGGGCTGGACACTGTCCACAGCCACCCAGCAAGGCAGATGCCCTCACTTCCCCATTGTACAGATAAGGAAACTGAGGCCCAAGGAGGAGGGGAACCCACTGGGAGCCAGGATTTGAACCCAGGGAGCTGGGCTCTGGCCCTAATGGTGAAGCATTACATTGGCAAAGTCAGAAATGTTGACAGTTCTTGGCACACGGGCAATACTCATAAATATTTCATGGCCGGAAAGGCATGCCCTTCGGTCCCAGTGCAAGTCTAGCTTTGCCCTGCCGTTCCCTGGCATGAAGGGGCCCTTGGAGAATGCCAGGAAACACCCCGGAGTGGGCTGGGGGACGGGGAGCGGCACAGCGTGAGGAGGGCCTGTGCTTTGGGACTCAGCTGTATGCCTTGGACCGTCCTTGGACAGATGAGGAAACTGAGGCTTGGACAGATCAAGTGACTTCCTCCAAACTTTCTGGATTAGGGGATGTCCCTTAAGGTCAGGCCTCGCCTGTCTGAACATTTTAGGATGTATGTTTTGTTTGCATTGCTAGGGATGGAACCTAGGCACTTTTATATGTCAGGGAAGGGCTCTACCACTGAGCTACACTCGTAGCACTTGCAATCGTCCTGCCTCAGCCTTCTGAGTGATTCAAGTCCTCATTTCTGTGCTGCAGAGCATCTCTCTCCTGATTCTGAGCACCCCGGGAGGGTCCCAACAAGTACGGATAGGTCACCTCTGAGGTTATGGGCACAGGTTTGGAGTCAGGTAAATGGGATTCAGATCCCAGCTCTGCCCCTTCCCAGCTGAGAGACCCTAGGTAATTGACTTCACCTCCCTAGACCTCAGGTCTTCCCTCTGAAAAACTGGTACAATAATAGTTTTGTCCCCTAATGTCCTGAGAAGGCTTGGCTGTGTACCTGACACACAGTAAGTGCTCAATAAATTCTCGCTACCGTTATAATACAGTAACCGCTAGCACAACCCATGCCTGGCTACAGCCGAGAGGACCTTGTACCTAGAGTTAAAAGCAGCAGCCACAGGGCCCAGGACCACAACTATCTCAAGAGATCTGAATTAATCTTTAACAGAACTGAATTCCACTCCAAATCAGTAATGTGGAACATTCTAGAGGGCCCTGGGCATGAAATAAATGTTCTCTTGGCTCCCAGGACCCTGTCAGTGATGGGAAAAGAGGGGATTAGAGTGTTCTCCCCCAAAGTCAAATAGGGGAAAGAGACAGCAACTCAGGGCCTGTGAGAGGCCCCACTGTCCTAGGAATGCACGAAGAAGCTCAAAGGACTCTGGTCCTCTCAAAAGCATGTGTTCAGGGGGTGGGGTGGAGCTCAGCATCCAGCAATGGTAGCCTGAGCAAGGGTTCAATTCCCAGCACCAAAAAAAAAGTATTTGCTCAGTAGATGAACCATACGATTGATACTTACTGAGCACCTACCACCTCCCAGGACAGTGAGGCCAGGGCTTGTGGCCTCCTGCATCCCTCCTGAGCTCCCCTCTCAACTCCCTACCCCGGGATTTGGACGACTTCCCTAGCCCGGGCACCAGTGGGCCTGTCCAGTCTCCCCTGACCTTTCCCCGCTCCATCCAGAGGGAACTTTCCAGAGGGAACAGACCACACAGCCATGGCTCCCAGCCTGCGTTTGACTTAGTCCCCCGCCACCCTGATCCCTGATCCCCCACCGTCCACACCACACCCACTAGACACAAGGGATGATTTCTTTGCTCTGCAAACTCCAGCCCTTCCCACCTGGTGAGAGGTAAAAGTCAAGTTGCAGCGGGTGCCAGTGCCTCTACCTCAATGCCCTTTCCTCTAACTCTGCATTGTTCTTCAAGGCGCGGCGATTGCCAGCTTGACCTAATGCCCGCCCATCCCTCCCAGGCCTGCCCACCCTCCCAGGCCTGCCCACCCTCCCTATCGCTTCTCTTCTGGCTCCATCCATTCGGCAGCACACGCTTACCCAGCATCCACCCGCTGCGCAACCTTGCTAGGGGCCCACAGGCAGGTGGGGGCGCTGCCCACCTGGAGGCCACAGATGGGAGAAGGGCCATTGGGCCTCAGGGAGGGGCAGCCAGCCCTCTTCCATTCTCACCCTTGGGCTACAGCAAGGCTGCATCGCAGACCCAGGAGCTTTGAAGAGAGACTCTTGGGGCTGGGGAGGTGGCTGAGGCCTGGCTCACACCAGCTGAGGCCGGAGGAGCCCCCGGATGTAAGGTGCCTGGATTTCCTTGGGGAATTCCAGGCATCTTCACAGGGGCTCTCACGAAACACCTTCCCTCGGGCCTCCTGTGCCCTTACCATCCATTCCTTGGTAGACCCCCTTCCAAAGCGACCAGCCTTGGTTGCGGGAGTAAACCAGACTGAACCATGACAGCTGCTGGACATCTGGGCTTGGGAGCCCCTGCTCTCTCTGACACACACACACACACACACACACACACACACACAACAGTGGGAAAGGGGGTCCCCAGCCTTTCAAGTTCCCACCATTCTTCAAACAGAGCTACAAAACGGTCTTCTGCTAAGAACACATTTAGGGACCAACAAGCCCGAGCAAACTCACCGACTGAGCTCCTCAGGACAGCTCGGGCTGGACCCCACACCACAGGTGAGAGAACCCAGGCTCACACCCCTGCCCTGCCCCGAGCCAAAACGGTAAAGTGTGACTTCTCCAGGGGTTCTTAGTACCCCAGGACAAAGTTTGCACAGGACCTGCACTTAGAATTTCAGAGGTTCACAGCTCCCCCGCAAAAGACCCCTTCTTTTAGCTGCTGAGCCCAAAGAGCCACAAGACCGCGTCCTGCCCGTGACTTCCCGCGCTCCCTGGGCACGCACCCACACAGAGCGGGCTCAGGCACAGGCCACCTGGCCTGGTGGAGGAGCTCTGGGCCAGATGCCCCCGCTACACCCCGGCTGTGCCTCAGTTTCCTCCTCTGCAAGATGGGGAGGAGAGACAGAGGGGAAGGGGTGGACTGCCATCCGTGGCTCTGTGCTGGGCTTTCCAGGCAAGGGCGCACGGGAAGTCCCTCTGCCTGTCCCCAGAGACTACCTGCGCGGGAGTGGGGGTCAGGATTTCCCTGCCTCTCTGGGATGCAACTGAGAAGTGGCCTTTGAAAGTTCCACGCTCCCAATTCCCTCCAACTCGCGCACAGGCCAAGGGCAAACCTCGGCGCCCTCCCACCCGCATCCTTCTTCCGAGTCCCCCAAGGTATAGCGTCTTCCCAGGTAGGTTTCCGGACCCGGGCCTCAGGGACCCAGATCTGCACCCCCAATGGCCCACTCCACGGCTGATACAGCCCAGGCCCAGCGAGGTGATCCCCGGCCCAAGGGCATCCAGCGCGCGGCGGCCGCCAGCTGGACCCGCGCCTCCCGCCCTCACCTCCCGCGCGCCCCAGGCCGGGACTTTCCGGGGCGGAGCAGGCCAGGGCGTCCTCCCCAGGGGCGCGAAGGGTCCTCCGCGAGGCCGTCCCTCCGGGCCCGAGCCCACTCACCTCCGGGACGGCTGGGCGCCGGCGGCCGGGAGCGCGGCGCTTCCTGAATCCCGGCCGGCGCCCGCCCGCCCGCGTCCCTCCTCCCGGCTCGGGTTCCCGCGGCCGCGCCCCCGCCGGCACCACGCCCACAGCCCGCCACCCAGCACCCGACCGCCCGCTTTTGTGGGGCTGGAACAGGGTCTCGGTTTCCTCACCTGAAGAATGGGTCTCCTGATGCTCGGATAGAAGGGCAGGTGTTTGCTGCAGCGCGCTCTGGTTGGCGCGCTGCGTACGACATGGTGTTTCTGGCTTCATGATCTTGGGCCCTCCGGGACTGGTAATGGACCTCCTGGCCGGTTCCAACGCAGAAGGCGCATCCATTCACTCATCCATCCATCCATTCATTCACTCATTCATCCACTCAGCAGACGCCACTCAGATTGGTCCGCAGTACCTCCCTGGTGTCAGGCGCTCCCGGCCTAACAGTGGCAGCACCTGTTTCAGGGACAGTCCCACAGAGAGAACCTGCGAGTTTGTCCCCGTCCCCTCTCTGGGGGCAGGGCTTAGCTTAGAGCCTGGCGCGCACAGAGCAGGAGAGCAGAGCCTCTTTTTCTATTGGGTGGCAAAGTTGAGTCCAACACGCAGCCCCATCTTCTACCCAGCCCTGGGTCCACTCGGCGCCTCGGGATCGGCAGCTCGCTCCCACCAAAGCTCGTTGGAGACCCCACTTGAAAAGGTCCTGCGCTCTAGAGGCGGACTCGGGGCACAAATGTAGCGCTGTGACTCAGCAGTCAACTGCCCCAGGCGAGACCCCTCAGCTCGGTGCCTCAGTGTCCCCAGTTGCCGGTGCGGTATGCAAACCACAGTGAGTATGCTGGGAGACTGGGCCTGGGCAGGGGTTGGGGGACATGGGTCATCTTACTTCATTAATTTGAGTTGACTCCAATTGACAAGATGGTAAGACGGGTCCTTCCGTTCTGGCTTGCAAATAGCAGTATCCGCTGCCAAGGGAAGTTTTAGAATTGTTGGAAAGAAAGGAGGCAAGGGTGGGAAAAAAAAAAAAAAAAAACTGAACACAAATGTTCAAAGTCCCAGTGTAAAACGTTTACAAAGAAACAAACTTTCCTAATTAACTCACTGATATGCCTGGACATGGTGACACAAGCCCGCAATCCCAGGTATTTGGGGGAAGGCTGAGGCAGGAGCATAGTACACTGAAGACCAGCTTGGGCAATTTAGTGAAACCCTGTCTCAAAAATAAAAATTTTATTTATTTATTTATTTATTTATTTATTTTTGGTTTTTTTTTTCCAGTACCAGGAATCGAACTTACGACCTTGCACTTGCCGGGCAGGCACTGTGCCCCTGAGCTAAATCCCCAGCACCCTCAAAACTAAAAATTTTAAAACGTTTAAAAAATGTTAAAAGGTCTGGGCTGGTAGCTCAGTGGTAGAGTTCCCTTGAGTTCAACCCCCAGGATGGCAAAAAAACTGATCCCGGCTGGGGGAAGGAGAGATCGCAAACCAGTCTCCAGGCTTTGAGGTAGGGATTGCTGGGCCCACCCTACAGATGGGAACCGAGGCTTGCAGAGGCCAGTGGGCCGGAGCTGCTGTCTCTCTGGGGCCGGGTGGGGAAGGAAGGAGGGAGCTTTTCCCTGTGGGTGGCCCCAGCCTCCAGCAGTGCAAGCAGCTCTCTGGCAGCGGTGAGGAATGTACACAGCCCCTTGCACCTCCCTGATGGAAAGCCTGTTTGCTGGGGACTGGGCCCCAGCGGGGGGAACGGGGTGCAGGTTGGAGCCAGGGCGAGGGCCATGGTGAGTCCTGTTCTCCAGGATGGGGCGGGGGCACCAGCATCACTGACCCAACCCTCTCTTCACAGATGGAGCCCCCTAGGCAGGGAAGCGCCCACCTTGGCTTAGGATGTTGGCAGTTGGTCTCTGCTCCGGACAACCGGCTTTCAACCCTCTGCTGCCACTGATTAAGTGAGACTGCGGGCAAGAACCTCACTCAGTGCCTCAGTTTGCTCCTCTGAAAAGTGGATGTTCGTCCCTCTGAGGCAGCAAACATAGCTGCCAGGTCTGCCTTGTTCCAGGCTACAGGACTAGCACATGGCACTTAGTAGGTGCTAGTGGCTGGAGCTGTGGGGAGGGGAGAATGGGGAGTTCTTGTTTATTGGGCAGAGAATTTCAGTTTTACAAGATGAAAACAGCCGGGCGTGGTGCCTCACGCCTGTAATCCCAGCACTCCGGAGGCTGAGGCAGGAGGATCCTTGTGAGTTCAAGGCCAGCCTGGGCTACAAAGTGAACTCAAGGCCAGCCTGAACCAACAGCGAGAGCCTGTCTCAAATAGAAAAAAAAGAAAGAAAAAAGATGAAAAGAGTCCTGGAAGGGGCTGGGGATTTAGCTCAGCGGCACAGCGCCTGCGTGGCAAGCGCAAGGTCATGAGTTCGATTCCTAGTACCAGAAAAAAAACAAAAAATTGAAAAGAGTCCTGGAGATGGCAGTGTTGACAGTCACACAACAGTATGAATGCTCTTAATGCCACCGAAAAGCAGTTAAGATGGGCTGGGGCCATGGCTCAGGGGTAGAGCACTTGCAGAGCATGCACAAGCCCCTGAGTTTGGTCCCCAGCACCATGTAAACAAAACAAACCAACAAAACCTTAAGATGGTAAATTCTTCTTTCAGTATCCGAGAGCTGCTCACCAAGTTACAGCTTCACCTCTTAACACACTTTTTTCCCCAGCCCTTTTTATTTTCGTTCATTTGGAGACAGGCTCTCACTGAGTTACTAAATTGCCCAGTCTGGGCTTGAACTTGTGATTCTCCTGCCTCAGCCTCCCAGAGTGCTGGGATAGATTACCGGTGTACCCACCAGGCCCAGCATTAAACTGTTCTTTTTATATTACCACAGTAACAAGATAGGGTGGGGGGAACTGGGTTAATTGAAAGCAAGAAGATCTGCCCCGGCTGAGGGGCCAAGTAGGAAAAGCAAGTGAGGCCTGGAGTTCAGGGCACCCAGCAAATACGAGCTGGTGTCACTCAGCATGCAGGACCACTGATAGGACTGACCGCTATTATTTTCCTGGTAAAAGTTCCCAGCCCTGGGAGGGCAAGAGGCTCTTGGCAGACAGGAAGCACTTTTCTTTTAGGGAAGGAAGGACTTCAAGGCCCTTGGTGGCCGGGACTCACATGCAGGCGCAAGTGGGGCCCAGCCCTGAACTCCACGCAGCAACAGGACTTGGCCGGGTGGGCCCCTTCTCCTAAGGGCGGTTCTTGGGTAGCAGCAGGAGGCTGCACTCACTGATCACCTCCTGTGCGCGCGGCCCGGTGCCAGGGGCTGGGGAGAGATCAGTGAGCCCGCCGGCCAGGGTCTGGGGGATCTGTACCCAGGACACCCAGTTATAAAAACGCGACGTGTGGACCTCGCTTCATGGTTAGCGCAGCCCAGCCCTGAGTTGCTGCAGGCCCAGGCCACCTGCTGACACCATTTTATGGAAAAGGACACTGAGGGGCCACCTGTCCAAGAGCCACCGCAGGGAGGATTTGAAGCCGAGCCCAGCTGGCCCTCCAGGGTAGCCCGGGCAGAGTAAAGAGGGTGGACGAGGCTGTGGAGAGGGTGGAAGCCTCCTGTGTGCTGCCAGAAGGCGAGGCGGAGCAGCTACTGCGAAGAACGCCGGGCAGTTCCTCAGAATGTCAAACACGGAGTGACTGTGTGACCCAGCAGCTCCACGCGGGGAACAGAGCCAGGAGGACTGCAAGCCCGCATCCACCCACGGGAACCTCTGTCATACGGGAACTTCTGTCATGCCAGGCGTGGTGGCACACGCCTGTAACCCCAGCATTTAGGGAAGTTGAGACAGGAGGATGGCAAGTTCCAGTTCCATCTGGGCAATTTAGTCAGATCTTATCTCAAAATGTAAAAATAAAAGGGCTGGCGGGGATGTCCCTAGGTGATATAATCTAGTGGGGCCACCATGGCATATGTGATCTGTCATTGTTACCCAAAAAATTGTTATGCGGCACAGAATGTACTCGCAGGGTGACATGATGCTCCCGCCCCCCAAAACCAACGTCATATCCTCACACTGAGAGCTCCCAGGTTTGCCCAGTGTTGTCCCTTCCTTATGTAGCTCGGTATCATCCTTCCCGGCAATGCTGTGTGGTTGGCATTCATGCCCCCATTTTACAGATGAGAACTGCTGAGTCCAGAAGATGGCAAACATTGCTGTCAGAGCCCTGTCCTCCACACTCCCCAGGCAGAAGTTCTTTCTTTTCCTCCCCACATCCCCTGCTTCCTCCTGCCTTCTCTCTCTTCCAAGAATTGGTGTCCAGGTCTCTGGGGCCCAGGAGTGGTTCCTACTCCATCCTCCTCCCCACTGCTCTGAAGAGCTGGGGCTTCTCCTGCCCATTTTTCAGATGGACAAACTGAGGCTCCACAGTGAAAGCCCTTTGAGGAGGTAGCTGCCAGCAGCACAGTCAGGATTTGAACCCAGGATTACCTGGATTTTAGCTGCTATATACACCAACCACCTGACACTTGGATGGGTCAGAGAGAGGGGTGCTGGAGGCGTGGGGTCCTAATTGCCTTGTCTGCTTTCTCCAGTGAGTGCCACTGACAGGCTCCAGTCAGGAGAAGGAGAAACAGAGGGTTTGGGGAAAGGAAGGTGGTCCTCGGCCTAGCTGTATGCATTTATGCGGCACTTGCTGTGTGCCAGGAGCTGTGTACCCCTGTGCTCAGAACCCCTCCCAGCCGTCGGGGAGCACGCAGGCTGAGCAGGGCCTGGACACCTCGGTCTTCCTCTGGGAGCTTACCCCGCCCCCGGTGAACAGCGGGGTCCACCTGAGGTCGCATCCTCTGCCAGGGGGACGGGACACAAGCGGGTGAGGGACAAGAGGCTGGTTTGTATACCTCGGTCCTGCGAAGCGCTGGCCCTGCTCCCGGGGCCTGGAGCCCCACCCTGCCCAGTCCGGCTGTCAATGAGGCTTTTCTGGAATTCTCCCTGGGGCAGAAACCCGAGGCCAGGTGGGAGGAAGCCCTTCTCCTCAGGTGACCGTTGCCATGGGCACAGCCATCCTCCCTGGCCTGGCTTGGAGGCCGGCTGTGATTCCTTTCACCGGCCTGCGGGCCTGTGGGTGTGGCTGAGCACCAGCCGGCCAGGGTCACCTCAAAGATGACCTCCTGCAGGGTGGGGCGCCTGGGTCCTGGTCCCAGCCTCAGAGGACTTCAGGGCTCCCCAGCTGGGCTTCTGCATGGAGTTGTGAGGGGTGAACGCACCCTTTCTGGAGCAAGGCCTCTGACTTCCACAGAGGTGGGGACGTCTCCCAGCCTGGCCCCTGCCCACCCCACTCTCTCTGGCCAGGAAGAGGCGCAGACTGGTTTGGGTCAGGGGCAGGCACAGCCTCTTTTCTGAGTCACACAAGGGACCCCTGAGGTCCTGGCTGACAGTTTTTTTAAACTGAATTAGCTTTGCTACCTTCTACTCGCCAGGGCTAATCCCTTCTTCTGCCCTTAGGGCAAAAAGCAAACTCCTTCTAAGCTCTGCACCTCTGAATTTCAACCTCCCTGGCTCTGGGTCATGTTGGCCCCTCTGCCCTTCCATGCTGCTTACTCTCCTGCCTCAGGGCCTTTGCACTGGCTACTGCCAGCCTCCCTCCCTCCCTCCCTCTCTCTCTCTCTCTCTCTCTCTCTCTCTCTCTCTCTCTCTTTTACCTGCTCTTCCTTTGGCTCTCAGCTCAGCTGTCACCTCCTCAGAGAGCTCCTCCCTGCCCACCATCACCACCCTCAATCTAAATCAGCGCTGTACCATTACTGCCCATCCCTCGGCCCTCCTTGCTGTCCCTCTCCACCCGTTTCGCTCCCTCGATTTATCGTGCATCTCCCACGGTGGGCCTTGTGGGCTGGGGGCCTTGTGTGGCTTCTTGCAGGATGCTCTGAGCCTAGCTCAGGGCCCTGCACACAGCTCAGGACACTCAGCAAACGGGCTACAGGACTCTGTCTTCCAGACGGTCCTCCCAGATCAAGGGCTGGTAGGGTTAAGTATCCGCTGTCGGCTTCCAGGGCCCCTCAGGTGCTGTGCTAAGTGCTTTGCATGGATGCTCCCATTTGAGGCCATAGCAGATGATGATTTTCCTAGATTAGGTATACAAGCCAGGGGCTGCCTGCTGCATGAAGAGGTGTCCATGGTGGCTTGTCAGAGCTGGCTGCAGGGAGCAAGCTAGCCCTGAACTTTTAAAATGAGGAAACTGAGGCTGGGGATGGGGGAGAAGGGATTTACCCAGAGTCACACAGTAAATGTGGGCAGAGCAAGGGATAGCAGCCAGACTGCATGGCACTTCTGGGCTGTTTCTGATATACATTGACATGGGCAAATCTGTGTAACTTTGAGGGGATACTGGAGACTGAACTCAGGGCCTTTGCACTGAGCTACATCCCCAGCCCTTTTTTTATTTTTTGAGACAGGGTCTCACTAAGTTGCTGATTACCCTGGCAAGGCCTTGAACTTGCAAACCTCCTGCCTCAGCCTCCAAGTGCTGGGATTACAGGCGTGCATCACCACACCCGGCTGAACATTAGTGTATCTTTAAGAACAAGTAATGGCTAGGAAAGGTGGTGCTGGCCTGGAACCCCAGCTATTCTAGAGGCTTAGACAGGAGGATTAAAAGTTTGAGGCCAGCCTGAGCAATTTAAAAAAATTTTTTTTTTTTTTTTTTGGTATGGAACTCAGGGTCTTGAGCTTACCAGACAGTGCTGCATCCCCAGCCCTCAAAATTTAAAAAATAAAAAGGCTTGGGACGTGGCTCTTGCTTGGCATGCAGGAGACCCTGGGTTCAATCTCCAGTCACACACACAGACCAAGTGAGCTTAAGGGAGCATGCTGTGGCTTAATTACTGGAACTGCACTGGGGGCCAGGTTATCCCTTCAGAGTTGCCTGGCAGGTAGTAGCATCAAATAAATAAAATATTAATAAGAATGAGCTATTGAACATCTACACGTCAGGAACTTGACACACATCATTTTATGCAATCCTGAAAGTTGGAAATGTTCCAGTTCCATTTTACAGATTCAGACACTGAGGCCCAGCTGGGCGTGGTGGCGCACGCCTGTAATCCCAGCGGTCGGGAGGCTGAGGCAGGTGGATCGTTGAGAGTTTGGACCAGCCTGGGCTACAAAGTGAGTTCAAGGCCAGCCTGAACTGCACAGTGAGACCCTGTCTCAAAAAGACAAAAAACAAAAAAACAAAAAAACTGAGGCCCAGAGAGGTGAATTGACTTGCCTTGGATCACACAGCTGCAAAGTTACTGAGCCTGAGTTTGTATCCCCAAACCATTAGGTTGGTAGTGCTGATAAAGTGGCAATAGGCGCTTAGGTGACGGGGCAAGGACTGTCGCACAGAGGCTGGCCTGAAGTCAGGACTCCAAGTGCCCTTTGGAGAGATTTACGCCTTTGCGGAGCAGGCTGGAAGGGGAGCCCCAGCTCTGCTCCACCTCTCCGGGTGCGGGAGGTGCCGGCTGGCGGCGCAGGGAGCTCTGCAGTGCCGACAGCGCCACCTACCGGGCCTTGAGGAAGCTGGAGACTCTCAGTGCGCAGGCGCAGGAGCGGTGGGGCGCGCCAGGAACAGAGCAAGGCTGCAAAAAGGGAAGCGGCAGTCTGCAAAGCAGGCAAACCCATCCAGCAACCCCCGAAACCGGAGGGAGCGGTCGCTGCTCCGACCCTCTGTAACCTGCAACTGCGATAACCGCGTCACGGACCGATTACGCAGCTCAGCTCCTGCCTGGGCAGTTTCATTGGCACGGCGAGCTGGATCCGTTGTATGCCCCCAGCACGGAAAAAAAAAAAAAACAAAAAAGGCACGGCGAGCTGGATCCGTTGTATGCCCCCAGCACGGAAAAAAAAAAAAAACTGAGGCTCAGAGAGGCAAAGTGACTTGTCCAAGATGATTTCGCTAATGCATAGCAGGGCCAGGACCCCAATACTCCTTCACATCCCTGAGCGCGCGCACACACACAACACATACACCACCATGGCCGCACGGTTGCTGCTTTATTAACACAGCACAGGGGCTGGGGATTTAGCTCAGCGGCAAAGCGCCTGCCTGGCAAGCGCAAGGTCGTGAGTTCGGTTCCTGGTACCGGAGAAAAGCAACAACAAAAAAACCAAACAAACAAAAAAAAACCCACAGCACTGCTGTGCTTTACCAACACTGTAACGTTTCATTTAAGCCTAGCGGACACTCTGTGAGATAAACCCCAGCATGAACTCCATGTTACAGATAGGGAAACTGAGGCTCCGAAGGGTGGATTGAGCCTTGCTTGCTAGAACAGAGATACACTATAATGGGTCCGGGACAGTGCCCTACGGGCTGAGTTCTCATTGACGGAGACAAGAGAATCAGTCAGTCCTGGCCAACTTTGGGGCTAATTTGGCCCTCTGTGCAGTTATCAGATAACCTGGGAACACAGGGGCAGGAAGTGTGACTCACTTTCAACTAGCCCTGCAGCCAACAGCTGAGGGAAGATTTGGAGTCAGATAGGAAGTCCCAGTGCCCCCAGTCGGACTGGGTCATCCTGGGCGAGTCTGTTCCCCTAGGCGATGCCATAGCCCCGGGGCACTGTTCCCTCCTTTGATAGGTGCGTCTCGGAATGCCCACATCTTAGGTGGTGGTTAAATGATGTGTTAAAGCACGTTTGTTTGCAGAGCCTGGTATACAGCAGGTGCTCAATGTGGGCTCTCTCTTCCCTGCTCCAGGCAGCATCCCACTTCGACAAGGAAGCAATGGGAAGGCAAGGATGCTGATGAACTACTGGCCTTGTCTCTGGGACCAAAGCCCTAGAGATCCCAGCCCTGCCCCCAGCAGGGGGCAGCAGTGAGGAGGCTGCCCTGGGAAAAATTCCCCCTCCCAAGAAGAAAGTGCCCAACCGGCCTCATTGTATTGTATTAGAGATATAAAGAAAAGAAAGAGACAGTTATTGTAATTGCCAGCAAAATGTTGTATTTCTAGGAAACCCAAAGGGAAAACCCCTAGAAAGCAATTCGATCTTAGGAAGAACAGTAGCATCCACAGTATCAGTCATATTAGAAAATACGATGAAATCGGAGACGTGTACAAAACGCGGCTGGGGCTTCCAACCCCTGGCTGTGCCAGAGGGAACCTTCCAAACTGGGCATCTGATTAGACTGCACAAAACCCTTAAAGGTGCTCCACAGTTAGCATCAAGCTCAAATCCCGCGCCAGCACCAGTGACACACACATGCACGCACGCACACAAAGCCGGCTCTTGGTCAAGACACCAGATCTTTGTCTACCACACGGCAGACTCTGACTCCCAAAACGAGCTCCACAGCATGGCTTCCCAGCAGGGCCTTGCGCACTCGGTATTGTTATTCTGGTCCATCTTGCCCACTGGGCCATCAGCTCTGTAGGAGCAGAAATGAAGAAAGCTTGCTCCTCTTGCCTTTAACCCCAATATCAGGAAAAGCATCAACCCATGATAAAGTGCACACCATAATTGGCCACAGGGCGGGGGAGGCAACGGGGATGGGTGGAGACTGAGGCAAACGGGTGACTGCACGCCCCTCCCCGTACCCTATCTAAACAAGGGAGCAATTATCTCCGTTTCTGCCAGGCAGCTTGGTTTTTTCAACAGAAGCTACAAACCCAAGATTTTTATGCGGAATTCTGCAGTTTCTCCATGTGGCAACCAGTTCTATTTTTTAAAAACCATGGAGGCCAGAAAACAGGTCATTGGCAGCATTTCTGCGAGAGTCCCCAGCCATAACCTCGGACACAGAAAATAAATGAAAGAACCAAGAACCAACACAGCACACAGATGTGATTCCAAAATAGAGATTTATTTATTAAGGATCATTTAGTTTCTGCATAAAAACCATCCATTGTTCCTCACTGGGTTTGTTATTAAAACACATGTCAAATCTTTTGGGGTTGCTTGGTTTGCCCCAATACTTTAAAAAATATAAGCTCTTTTTAGCGCCAGGAAGGACCATTAAGGCATTGAGGTGGCTTTGTGAGTCTCTGCAGCTGGAGGGCACGTTTCTCCCTCTCCAGAAATCCACTTGTTTCTTAGGCTGGAAGAGCTGTCCCTGAAGAAAATAATTATGCACAAGAATGCAGATACAGTCATCAGTGGTCAACTGTTTGTGCCCAGTAGCTTGCAAAAAAGTGGCCCCTTGGTCATCAAAGGCTTGCTGGTTGGTTTCAGCTATTTAAAAAAAAAACAACCCTAAAAACAAAGACTGTCTGGCCAAAGGCAGATGGCTTCTAATGACAGCACTATGCAGCCGGGCTGTGCAAACTGCACTAGAACACACACCAGTTTGCTCTTTTAAAGAACGCCACAATAAGGATCCTGTAAAATTTTGAATCAGATTCTTCATGGTCCCTAAAATACCCAAAGCATCATGCAGCCAGCTCCTCAAAGGAGCGAAAGCTTCCCTGGGATGTGAAGAGTGTACTGCTCCTCCAGGGCAGTGCTCCTGGGGCGTGGGGGGCAAAACCCTAGGACTTGATTTGTTAGAAACGTTAATTTTACTTATTTGTGTTTATGTTTTTGTGGTGCCGGGGATTGAACCCAGGGCCTCACGCATACTAGCCAAGTGTTGTACCCCCGAGCCATGCCCCAAACTCTTCAAAATTTTTCTTTTGAGATAGGATCTCGCTAATTTGCCCCAGGCTGGGCTCAAACTTAGGATCCTCTGTCTCAGCCTCCCACGTAACTGGGATTACCGGCCTGCGCCACCCAGCCGGGCTGGTTAATTGATTCTTATCACACTGAAAGGAAGGTGTACAGTCAGTCTGTGCTGTTGTGCAAGTCCGACTTGGAAGAGGATCATTATTTATTGCTCCATTAGAATAAACTAAAAAAGAAAAAGACTTTTAAAACCCCACGGCTGTGCCCTGTAGCCCAGGCTGGCGTGGGGGCCGCGGGCAGGGCGTGGCCGGCTAGCGGGCTTGGTTCACAGTGATTCAGGTTCGCTCGGGTCTGCGCGCAGCGGCCCGCGGGCACCGCCTACACCTTGTAGTTGAGCTCCGCGTTCATCTTGGTGTACATCTCGTAGATGACGTCGATGGTGGCCGTGTAGTTGACCAGGAACAGGCGGATCTTCTCCAGGCACTCTTCCTCCGTCACATTCTGCCCCTTGGAGAGCGCTTTGAGGAAGTCGGATTTGTAGGGGGCCGCATAGAGCGCTGCCTTGAGGTGGGCGAGAGGGGAGGCGGGTGGACATTAGCAGGGAGACACAGGCCCGCAGGGCGGGGGACAGGGGACAGGGCGGGGGGTCTTCCCCAGGGTCTGGGTGGGTGCTGCTCCGATATCCATGGTGTGGGAAGGGAAAGGGAAAGAAAACTTTCTTTCTTTCCTCCCGCCCTCCTTCCTTCCTTTTCTTTGGAGGGGTACCAGGAATCGAACTCGGGACCTCCCACTTGCCAGGCAGGCACTGCGCTGCTGAGCTATATCCCGGCCCCTGCGGCCTCTTTCTTGGGCTTAGAGGGTGACACTTCCCGACATTTCAGGGCTTCCCTGACAGCTGAAAGAAGTCCAGAGGCTCAGTTCACAGAACTGTAGAGCCAGGCTACAGCTGTGACAGCTTGGGGGAAATATAAACAGCGTTCTCATTGATAACGAAAGTAGTAGTAGCTTTGTTTCACTGAATGTAAACATGTGCCAAGTACTTGATGCAGACTGGCTCATTAACTCTTCACAGTGATTCTTGTAGGCCATTCCATGTTTTATACCTATTTGAAAGACGAGCAGACGAAGGCTGGGGAGGCCCCCACTGCCTCTTTTTTTTTTTTGAGACAAGATCCTACTATGTTGCCCATCCCAGCCTCAAACTCCTGGGCTTCAGTGCTGCTCCTGCTCCAGCCTCCCGAGTAGCAGGGACTAGGGGCACACACGACCACACGCAGCCAGGCCTCCTCCTTCGCACTGTGGGGCCTTGACTTTGCCTAAGCCCCAGTCTGTGCAGGGGTGGGAACAGCGCCACCTCGCGGAGCACTGCTGGGGATCGCCGCTCGCTGGAAGCTGCCCTGGGCCAGGCCCACCGGACACAGTCACTAGGGAAGCTGGCTGCTAGGCCTTCACGGGGCAATGCGCTGCAGAAAGGCAGAGGTCGTGAGGTGCTCCCCGGGTGGGCCAGGCCAGGGCAGATTTCATGGTTTCTGCCCCATGTCCGGCTCTTCCTGCCTGGACCCAGCCTGGCTCCCGGCGGGGCCTCCTGGGGAACAGAGGGGCCATGAGGGCCTGGCTCTGGCGGCAGTGAGGACACGCAGGCGCTGTGGGCTGCATCGGAACGGAAGGGCTGGCACGGCAGAAGGGGCATGGCCATGCCGAGTGAGACAGGCAGAGAGACAGGTGCCAGAAGCAGCGCACAAGGCACTCTGAAGGCCCTTGCACATCTCTCCAGCTGGCTTCTCAGCCTGGTGACCTAGAGACCCTTGGCCAACAAGGCCAAAGGCCTGTGTCCAGGAACCTGGCCAATCTCATCTTAGCGCTGGCCACAAGAGCCTGCAGGCCGCTGTCCTTTCAGCATATGCCGCCAGGGGAACGAAGCCCTGCCCCCCTCTCCACCCGGGGTGAGAATCCAGGCACATCAGAATTCAGAGAATCTAGGAGGGGCCAACTTGTGGCCCAAGGGGCCTTGCCCTGGATATTTTCTTTCCCTCTTTCTTTCCTTTGCAGTACTAGGGACTGAACCCAGGGCCTTGGCACTGAGCTACATCCACAGCTCTTTTTTTTTTCCCTTTTGAAAAAGGGTCTCACTGAGTCACTAAGTTTCCCAGACTGGGCTTGAACTTGTGATCCTCCTCCCTCGCCCTCCAACTGCTGGTCAGGGCACCCAGAGAGGCCCCAGGGAGCAGCTGCAGCAATGGCCACCGTGCCATGCCCCAGGGCTGGCCACATGCACACAAGCGCCCTCAGCACATCAGTACCAGCCTTGCCCACAGAGGACGGGGCCATTCCCACACCCAGGGGCAAATACAGGCCCCAAAGATACAGCTAAAGACATGGGAGAGCCGAAGCATCCCGGCATGGTGGTGCAGGCCTGTAATCCCAGCACTCAGGAGGCTGAGGCAGGAGGATTGCTGTGAGTTCGAGGCCAGCCTGGGCTATAAGGTGAGTTCACGGCTGGTCGGAACAACATAGCGAGACCCTATCTCAAAAAAAAAAAAAAACCAAAAACAAAAACAAAAAAACCCCCAAAACCAAAAGAAAGAAGTGAGAGCACCAAGCATGGGGGTGCATGCCTGTAATCCCAGCACTTAGCAGGCTGAGGCAGGAGAATCACCTCAAGTTTGAAGCCTACACTGTGTAGTTGACCTCTGCATTCATCCTGGTTTACCGCACAGCTGGCTAAATAGGGAGACTCTGTCTCAGAAAACCAAAGGGGGAAAACTGGCAGAGCAGGAAATGGAATCCGCAAGACTGTGTTCCTGGCCTGGGGACAGAACGGGGTTCCCTGGTCCCCTGGGGGTGGCTCACATGGAAGATCTTCTGCACAAGCCAGCCATGGTACTTCTTGAGCGCCATCTCGTAGGCCTTGGTGGCGTTGACGCGGATGTGGTTGGGGTGGTTCTCGTCCCGCTCGCCGTCACAGATGCTCTGGAGGAAGATCTGGATGAAGCGCAGGCCCCTGTGGACACAGCAGAGAAAGCGTTTAAGACTCCCGTCCACGAGCCGGCGCGCCCCCTGCCGGCTGGGAGGGAAGCAACTACTGTGAGCCGGAAGTACATTGGTGCGGTCCCTCCACTGCCCTCTTGGACTCCTGCTTATAACAGTGTGACCGCTTGGCTCGACTCAACAACCCCCGGGTCCCTCTGTCCACCAGAGCCAGTGCTGGCCCCTGACAATGGTTCTTGCCAGGCTTCAAGACCCACAAGGGCAGGGTCTGGGCCTGCCTTGCCTGTTACAGGCTGGCGCAGGGCATCAGGGCTGGAGGGGTGAGGCCACAGCGCCGGCCCACAAAGGGCTCACAGACCAGGAATAGAATATATCGGCACACTGACCAGCCTGGCCCAGGGCCCGCCCAGGCTCCTCACTGCCAGCCGGCCGGCCCCCGGTCTTTCTCTTTTTTGTTGTTTTGCTTTTGTTTTTGTTTTTGAGACAGGGTCTAGCTATGCAGTTCAGGCTGGCCTTGAGCTCATTTTGTAGCCCAGGTTGGTCTCGAACTCCCAATGATCCTCCTGCCTCAGCCTCCCGAGTGCTGGGGTTACAGGCGTGCGCCACCACGCCTGGCTTCCCCGGGTCTTTCTAAATCTGCTACATCACCCCGTCTGCCTACCCCAAGCCGTGGTCTGTAATTCCAGTGGCCACTCCAAGAGCCAGAAGGAGGGAGGCATGGCAAGGGGTCCAAGTCAAAAATCCAATGCGTGCCTGCCCTGGGGTTACCTGGGTGGGCTCAGAGCGGTGTCCCCAGCACTCACGCAAACTACACAGAACTCCTCCTCAAGGTGCTGTATTTCTAGCCAGGCGTAGCGGCGTACACCTGTTACCAAGCACTCAGGAGGCTCAGGCAGGGGGATCACTACAAATCTGAGGCCAGCCTGGGCTACACAGTGAGACCCTATCTCAGAAAACAAATAATTCTGTATTTCAGTCAAGAAACTGTCATAATAGACACATCTGCCTTATACCTATATGACCATCCCCCAAACAGGATACCTCTGCGCTGCACACAACCTGTACAGCTGTGCTTACGCGACCTGGCCCTCAGGAGACTCTTCCCAGCCATGGATGAGCACGGCGCCGGAAGGACATGTGAGCCCATGCCGGCAGTGGCAGGGATTGCGTCCCTCCTGCACAGTATAGGGGGACCTCTGGGCCCTACCCCCAGCCCATCACCTTTTCAGCCACATCAGCGCCAGCGTGGCCCCCACTTTGGGCCACTCTGTCCCGTACATTTCCTTCTCCACCTCCAGGATGTTCTGCAGGGTCCGGAACTTGGCTGGGTTGGTGTCATACACCGCTTTGATTTTCTGAAATGCAGCACACGGGATTTTCCCCTTGAAAAGGCTGCCCTGACAGACAGCACCCGCCCCATGCCAGGGGGAGGAGCAACCCCAGGCACCTCTTCTGCCTCCCCACCTGTCCTGTCCTAACAGGAACTGCCCCGTGCCCATGTTTGTTGAGAGCTTCTCCTGAGCTGGAGCACCCCAACTGCTTTGTGGGTGCTGTCTATAGGATGTTCAGGGCTACCTGAGTGTTGTTTGTTGGTACCCAATAAGGCCACCGAGGCTCAGAGAGGGGCAGTGACATGTCCAATGCCACACAGCACGTGTGGGTGGGAGTGGGTCCCAGCTCGGCTGGCTTGAGAGTCCACGTCCTCCAACCACTGGTGACACTGCCCTGGGCAGCGGGCTCCTGAGGTTTTACTTTTAGGGATGAGGGAAATCTTGGACTCAAGGACTCCAGGATCATCCTAGGATTCAAGGATGTCCGGGCTCAACGGTCTCGGGAGGACCCAGGTGGTCCTGGGTGTGAATCCCAGCTTGGCCATTCCCTTGCTGTGACCCTGAGTGCATCCCCCTCTGAGCTGAGGGCCTCTGACACGGAGCAGTGGGAGGGACAACAGCAGAACCAGCATCCCAGGGCCGCTGCGATGTAGAAATGAGACTGTGTGGTGGGTCTCAAGGCCTGGGTGGGCCCCGAGCAGATCCTCACAGGAGGGCAGATGGCATAGGGGACCCCCAGAACTCAGGAGGGAGTCAGGCCATGCCCATTCATGGAATTTGGTGGGGGCTGTATTGTTCTACGGCACTGGAGACCAAATCCCGGACTTTCCACTGAGCTACATCCCCAGCCCTTTCTATTTTTATTTTGAAACAGGGTCTCATTATGTCTGAGCTCAGCTGAAACTTGCAATCCTCCTGCCTCAGCCTCCTGGAGTGCTGGAATTACAGGTGCATGGCTGGGTTTTACTTCTCTGTGCGCGGAAGTGAATAAAAGACAGCAGCCAGCCCCTTCTCAGGGTAAGCCCTTAAGACTCTGGTCTCACCCAGGCTGAATCTAGATGGCTTCACCAGAGGAGCAGCAAAGCCCGGGGCCCAGCGCGTTTCCTGCGCCTCCTTCCGCTTCCCGGGCTGGAGTTTGTGGCTGCCAGGCCACGTACTAACCGTGATGTTGCCGCTTATGTCTGCCTTGATGGGCGTGAACACTGCAGACCCGAGGCAATCTGGGGACAAAATGACAAGAGAGTTAAGATTCCCCACAAGGGTAATAGGACAACCATCAGCCACCAAGGCCTGGGGACCTCAGGGGAGGAGAACTGGTGCGTTTAGGGGCAGGCAGAGTGTTACAGGGCTTAGGAAGGCTCTGTGGGCCAGCAAACTGGGGGAGTGCTGGGCCCTAGGTGAAACTGGACTGTACTGCAGGACTTGTCAGAGTCTTTAAATCTAAATGGAATAGCGAAGAGACAAACCCTCTGTCCACATCTCTCTTTTCCTAGAACAGAACTGAACTTCCTACAGTGATGGCAATGTCTGTGCACTGTCCAGTATGGCGCCCATGTGCTACCCAGTGCCTGCAGGCTGGGAACCTCCTTCAGCCTTCTGAGCCTCATATTCCCAGCTCGCAAATGGGACAACAGACCCCATCACGGAGACGTGACAAGGAGTCCAGTTCCAAGACACATCTGTTCATCTCTAGAATCTCGATGTTCTTCAACGGAAGTATCTGTGCTTTCCTGGCAGGATGGAACACAGGACACCAGGCAACACCTTCCGGTAGGTGACAGCAGATCCAGGCGTGGCCTGGCCATGCTTGGAGCTCTGTGCTCCACGTGAAGCCTCTCCCTGTCCCCTCCTTCGTCCCCCTTGGCAGGTCATCATGAGGACCAAGGGCACAGCACCAGGCGACGCTCCCCGCAGAGGTCTGGGGACAGTGGAGGGCACACTCGTGCAGTTCTCAGGTGGCCCTCACCCTGGGGCCTGCGGGGGACAACTACACCTACCCTCCTCAGCAACCTTGCTGGGTCCAGGGAAGCCTTTCACTAAGCTGGACACAAAGCCCGGGGGACAAGGACCCAAGGTGGGCCAGAGGCAGATGCCAACCCACAGGGGGAAAACGCCACTTCCCAGGAGGCCACGGCCGTCTCTAGGCATGCGGGGAATTCTGCAGGCCGGATTCCAGCCAGGCAGAGTGGGCACGGCTGGCCAGCCATCTGGAACATGCTAACCACAGCTGAGAAACAAAGTGCACGGTCACCAGGCACGGTGGTGCACGCCTGTAATCCCAGCACTCGGGAGGCTGAGGCAGGAGGATCATTGCAAGTTCCAGACCAGCCTGGGCTACAAAGTGAGCTCAAGGCCAGCCTGAACTGCATAGTGAGACCCTGTCTCAAAAAGATTAAATAAATAAATAAATAAACAAGGCGCATGGAGCGAGCCTGAGATGCTTAAACCAAACACCCATGGCGTGGTGGAAAGAAAGCGGGTTAGGGATGCAGACAGATGGGCTCTGAACCACAGCCTGGCCACTGCTCGCCTGGGTGGCTCACCTCACCTCTGTGTACCTCCATTTCCTAATGTGTCCAGTGCAGCAGCAATAGGCCTTCATTCATAAGGATGTCACGGGAATTAAAAATAGCCTGCCAGACTGGGGCTGTAACTCAGTGGCCGAACATGTGCTCAATATACCAGGCCCTGGGTTCAATTCTCAACACCAAAAATAAGAAAGAAAAACAACGCATCACACTTGGCAGAACACCTGTGCACGGTGAACCCTCACTAATTGGGCCTCAGTCATTTGTGTGACTTCATAGCATCTCCAGGGTCAGGATCCCCTGTCCAGCCAATGTCCCATGAGCCTTTGCTGCATGGGAGTCATCCTTCACTCCCGCGTCCCTCCTCCCTGCTGCGGGCTTCTGGCACAGTCCCCGGGCTGAGCCAGGCTACTCCTCTCACCTGTGAGCCTCCTTGTAAAGCCCGTGGGGCGAGTCTCCCCCAAGGGGCAGGCCTGAACCTTCTCGCCACAACCACTTCTGAAGTGGGCCCGAGGTGCTGGGCAGGGGTTTAGCCCGCCTGCCCTACCTAACCCTGGGTGCTCTGGCTCCCAGCCGGGCCTGCAGAGGTCATTAACGCAGCTACTGCCCCATCTGCCCTTAGCCTTGCCTGACGCACGTTGGACATCCTGGCCAGTCAGTCCTGTCATCTGTTCACCCCCTGCGGAGCCACTCACGGTGAACCGTGACCGGTGATTGTCCTTAGTGCCGCAGGCTGATCTTCAACCACACCCTCCAAACAAGGAAGGCGGGGCCAGGGCTTGCTGACAGATCACTGGCAACCACAGGAGTGCTACTAGCTATTCTCAAAGACTCGGGTCATTCAATTTGCTTTTTTTTTTCTTCTCCTAGTATTACGGATTTAACCCTGGATTGCTCTAGCACTGAGCTACCCCACAACCCTTTTTATTTTTTGAGACAGGATCTGGCTAAGTTGCCCAAGTTGGCCTTGCAATCCTCCTGCCTCAGCTTCCCGAGAAGCTGGGGTCATAGGCTTGTGCTGCTGAGCCCGGCTTTGATGTGTATTTTAGAGACCCAGACAAAAACGCTAGTGGGATGCCTGGGCTCTGGACACGGCTTTGGTGGCAGGGAGAAAGGCCTTTTGTCTCGCGTTTTCCTGACAGTGTACTCCGAGGGTCACGCGGCTGCCGTGGTCAGCAGTCACCAGGCCCCAACAGCAGCGCTTATTGTGGGCTGTGGCCACCGCACAGAGTGGCGGCTTCTGCTCAGCTGTGGGGGAGGAATGTGCCGGCTGAAGGCTGGGGCCCTGCAAAAGCACTGCAGATACAGACCCTAGATGGGACGTGCTTTCCTGTTCCACCCAGAGGGTGTGACCCAGAAAAGGGCGGTGGGCCAGGAGCTGCCGGGAGGGGGCTGCCCGTGATCGGTGGAGAGGCGGCCCAGGGCTGTACAGCCAGCCAATCCTGGGTTCAAGTACTGACTCTGGCCAAGGGACTTTATGACTTGGGGTCAGGTCCTTCACCTCCTGCAGCGCAGAGATGCCGTGCAGACGAAGTGCTCCAGGCGCAGGTGGGCCACAGCCCGCTTCGGTGTCACTGAGGACTCCGGGCCTGTTTGCTCATGTGCAGCTGGAGGACGCCGAGTCCAGAGATGCCAACTGACTTGCCCAAGCTCACAGAATGACAGCCAGGAACTGGGAACCAATCACAGAGCTAAGGCAGGTTCTACCGCGCTCTGGCCTTTCTTTCTAGAATGTTCCCACGTGTTTATGGGAACTCAAGGAAAATGAGGGAACTCTGACAGGAAAACCAGACGGGGATTTTAATTCCCAAGCACGCGGTGGCCTTTCTAACACTTTAAACTTAAACTGGTCCTGCTCCCAGACAGTGCGACAAGTTTCTGGCAGGTTATCCCGCCTTACCTTTCCTTCAGACTGCAGCCTGCCCTCAAATTGCCTTTCTTGCTTTACCAGTTTCGCAGTTACCCCAAACTTGTTTTGTCTTAACTGTTGTCAGCAAACAGGCCACTTAATATGCCAGCAGAACCTGTCTGCCTAGAGGGAGGGGGCCTGGAAGGCCTTCTAGTTCACCACCTACCCCCAGAGAGAAAGGAAGCTATCTTAAGAAAAAGAAAAAAATCAGATACGATCTCACCACCTTCATAAAAGTCTGGGTTATCTAGGATACCTGACAAATTCCTTCTTTGCATGGGGGAGAAAATTTGTGTCTAAGCAAACTATTCAACTCAGAAGACCTAAGTAGAAGATCAACAAATCTTGATTATAAAAACTAGAAACTTCCTACACAGAAGGGGGGAAAATCCTACCATCAAAGCCAAACAACAAAGGCTGCGCATGGTGGTGCAGGCATGTAATCCCAGCACTCAGGAGGCTGAGGCAGAAGGATCGTTGCGAGTTCGAGGCCAGCCTGGGCTACAAAGTGAGCTCAAGGCCAGCCTGAACTGCATAGTGTGACCCTGTCTCTAAAAGACAAAAAACTAAAACAACAAGCTGAAGTGAGGGGATGTTATCTGTGCAAAAAATATAACAGATAAAATGCCATTATCCCTAATATATAAAGATTTCTAGGGGGCTGGGGATTTAGCTCAGCGGCAAAAGCGCCTGCCTGGCAAGCGCAAGGTCGTGAGTTCGGTTCCCGGTACCAGAGAAAAACCAAAAAAAAAAAAAAAAAAAATCAGCCCTATAAGACAATGGACAATTCCAGATAAAATGAAAAGATGCCTAATCTCAATAACAGAAAGAAAATAAAATTAAAACGAGGAAATATTTTCCTACCAAATAATTTTATAAATGTACCAACTATCTCTAGTTCAACTATCTATGATAAAAGTCACCAAAATGTAACACAAATGTCCCTGCTGTCACACAATAAGCCATTTGTAACTTTCTAAACAGGGTCATCATCAAAAATATGAATTATGGTGCCATGTGTAGTGGCACACACCTGTAATTTTGGTTACTTGAGAGGCTGAGGCAGGAGGATCAAAAGTTCAAGGCCAGCCAGGGCAACTTAGTGAGTTCCCATATCAAAAAGAAAAAGGCAAAGAACATTCCTCCTGCTGGCTGGCGGCTATTCCTTCCTGCTCTGTCTGCAGTGCTTTGCTAGATACTCAAAAAGCCAATAATTACTCCAGAGCCACCTATAAAACAAAAGGAGACAAGCACCAAGCCAGGGATTCTTGCATGACTTCTGTGACAACTCTGGATGGACAGGGGCCACCTCAGGCCTCCTGGTTGGGTCTCTTTTCTTTTTTTATCTTTTTGTGACAGGGTCTCACTATGCAGTTCAGGCTGGCCTTGAGCTCACTTTGTAGCCCAGGTTGGTCTCGAGCTCACAGTGATCCTCTTGCCTCAGCCTCCTGAGTGCTGGGATTACAGGCGTGCGCACCACACCCAGCTCTGGTTGGGTCTCCAGCTTCAGTTCAGGTGGGTGACAGTGCCCAGGAGGGGACCCTAAGCCACAGGAGCAGTTCCCATCAGGCACCCGGAAGGCCGCTCCTTTCCTTTTTCCGGCCTCAGCACAGCTGGAGAGCACTCCTTGGGCCAGCGCTCTGCGGGGACCCAGCTCAGCGGTACAGCACTTGCTTGGCACGTGCAGGCCATGGACCCCACCCCCAGCACCACAAAAGAAGACCGCAGCGCACATCTGGACGTTTCCAGGCCGCCCCGCAACGCTTTGATCCCTTTACATGGA